AAAGCCGTGCTCTTAAAGGCGCCCGCGCTCGTCCCCGCCTCTAGCCCGCCGCCCGCTCCGTGGCAGGAGGAGCCATTGACACCGCCGGAGCCAGCCAGACGCGCGCGCGCGCGCATACGCACACACGGCCACGCGCGCGCGCACATACGCGCGAGGAGGCGGCCCCAGCCCAATCCGCGCCGGCTACACGGAACCGACACCATCCTTCAGCCAATCCCGTGCGCGCTTCTATAGGGCAGGCGACGGGGGGGCTGGAGCGGGATATAAGGGAGGCGGCTCGGGGATGAGCTGGGGTAGTAGGTGGGGGAGGGGGTACTCCCATTTAGGGAGTCGGGGAGACATTTCAGCTCTCCACCTTGTTGGGGAGGGAGAGGCCGTCCCCCTGCGGGGGGAGCTGGCGTGGGAGGGATGGGGTGAGCCTATTCGTGCAGCCGCCCTGAAGTGGGGGCACGGGAAGCTGGGGCCTGTACACCTCGCCAAAGTCTGCGGTGGGCTCTGAGCTGGCCCCTCGGAGCAGCGCCCACAGAGAAAGCTTGGAGGGGGCCTGGTCCTGCAGAGCCCTCTGCTAATGTTATGTGCGAAATGGTAGGTAGGGAGCCCTGTAATGCCTTGTTGTGTGTCTTGTGTGCCTTGGTAACCATGTGTTGGCAGTATCCTTGGCCCCAGGGTAGCTTGGGGTGGGGGTTTCCTTGGTTCCCAGGCCCCAGCTAATTATTCTGTGCCTGACTGTTCAACATATTCCCCCCGCCTCTCCATCTATGCAGTGTAGACTCCCTTTGTCTATATACATTCTGCCACTTTCACTGTATCTTACTGATGAGAGCATATGTCTTATCTTGTCCTGACACTTCAGCTCTGGAGCTGCTGCTCCAATGCACTTGGAAAGCTGGCTCATCACGGCTGCTGGTCCACAGGCTGCTCAAGACTAGAAATCGGTGAAAGAAATCCTATTTCTTTCTATATGCATAAATTCTGTAGATGGCAATACTCTGACTACTGGTAGGTAAGGGGAAAACACTTTCTCTATCAGTGGTTATGCCCCGGTCCTGTAAACACATGAGTATAACTCCAAGCGTGTTGGCAGTACCATTTAATGGAAATACTTGAAGCCTCTGCAGGGCCTACTTTTTGAGTCTAAATAATAAACATTGGTTCACTAGGGCAAGTGTAACTAACAGCGAAGGCTGAAAAAACTATAAGGCCAAAGATGCATTGATTCAAAGTGAACAAATAGAGACAAACAAGACTTTTGGAAATGCCTGGAGTGTTGTCCTGCTGTAGTGCTTTGGGGTGTTTTGCTTGCGTTTAAAGACTCAAATCCAACTCCAAATTTCTTTCTCCCAGCATATTTCAGAGTTAGCCGAATGTAACAGTAAATTAACTTTAAAGTTCATGTTTGAAAATAGTCAACTACGTAAAGTACTTGGTTCTTCTAATTGGTTAGTATCTTGTGGACTGGCTTATTTTGTTGCTTTGAAGAATGGTCAAAAGAAACAATGTACAGTAGTTTCCCTCTTGCTTGAAAAGTGAATTCTAACACTTTCCCTTACACTAAAAGTGGAGATCAGAAACAAGAATTATCTTTTCATAGAGACAAAATTGTTTGTTTGTTTGTTTTTTCAAGAAGAGAGCTTCCACTTCAGATTTCCTTATTTGGGTACAGACTACGTTGTGAGTACCCATGCTGGTACTTAGACCTTGGTTGAAATTATACGTATAATTTTTTTTTCTGTCAAAATTGTGCTATAGTTTGAATGTGCCATAAGAACAGTATGTACTACGGGATTTCAATAAACATATGTCTAGGTTTATAATAGAGCTCAAATGTAACTAAAAAAAGCCCAAAAACCAACCCTTCCAAATATTTGTCTTTAAATGCAATAGTGTAATTTTACAATTGTATTTCTATATAAGTGCTTTAATTATGCATTTTCCTGCTCTAATGCATGAATTTTCAGCATCTCAGCAGGTTGTTTAATTTTTGTTCAATGCCAGCTCTCTCCTGCACTTAGGTTTTAGGATCTGGGAACAGTGCACTATCAGTTGAAGACTGAAGACAACCTTCAAATCTGTTGCCTAATCTTGCCAAATTTAAATCAACCTGTCTAAACTTTTCAATTCTAAGGTTCAGACAGAACATTACTGAAAAGACTTGTGGAAAATAAACATTGAGTTTTGGGAGGGAAAAGTGTTTTGAAGATCTGAAATCTCCATCATTCCTGTCGCTTAGAATTCTAATACAATTCCTTGATTTAGAAACATCAGTTTTTTTCCCAATATGGCGGTTGTGATGAGGACTTGTTCTGACTGGCATTGGGGCAATAGCAGGAATTTGGCAAAACTGGCTTATAACAGGATGTTCCAGTATGCAGTACGTTGTATTTGTAGTGTTAGTAGCCAAAGTCTATGCTTTGTCTCTGATACTAAGTCTACAGATGGCTATGATTGAGAGCAGTTTTTAAATCTTGCTGGCCTGGTTTCAGGATTGGGGAGAATAAGAACTTCATTTGATGGGAAGGGGAATGAGTTGCTTTGGGAAGTCCTGTTGAGGGAAGGAGAGAACTTAAGATTCTAGCTAGTTTATAATATATGCATATAAAATAACTTCCTGCCAGAAAATTTCAAAGTGATAAACATTCTTCAGTGACTTAAAAAAAAATCATAATAACAGCATAGATGAACAAAGTTTTAGGCTAATGCACAAACGTATTCTCAAGAACACACGTTTTAAGACCAGTCAGGAATTGGGAAGCTTGAAGATTCTCAGAAAACGGCCTTAACTCTAGCTCTGTATCTCATCCCTCATGACAAAACCAAGAGTCTACCCCAGGGGCGGGCAATTATTTTGGGCGGAGGGCCGCTTACCAAGTTTTGGCAAGGTGTCGAGGGCTGCATGGGTAGCCTTGCCCCTTGACAGGTGCCCTGCCCCCTGGTTGTCATCTTGGTGCTAGAAGTCTCCCCCACCCCCAACCTCTGACCTTTGCCACTGGAAGTCTCTGCCCTTGCCCCTGGAACTACTCCTTTGGGGAAGAGGGTTTGCCATCTAAGGGGGGGGAAAATTGCATACTAAAACTCAAACACCTATAATCATTTATTTTAATTTGATCTAAAAGAATATTTTTGTCCTGATTTGTGGGCGTTTGTGATGTATATGTAGAAGTGATTTACCTATGGGGGGGGGGGTATGGATGTGGGTATGGAAGCCACGTAGTGCAGAGTGGGCGGGCAGGAAGGTGGGGAAAGCAGCAATGGGGAGTGGAAGCGAGCGGGAGCGTGGGGCCTGCACCTATGTCCCAGTGCCAGCAGGGCCCAGAGCAGGGTGGTAGGAGTGCAGGGTGTGGTCTGGCAGGGGTCTCTGAAGCTGGGCTGGGCTGGGCCAGCAGGCAGGGGGGGAGCTGGCCTGGCTCCATAGAGCCTCTGCCATCCAGGACCCCACACTCCTACCACCCTGCTCTGGCCCCAGGACACCAGCGCTGGCCCTGCGCTCCCGCCCAGCTACCGCTGGCTCCTGCTTACTCCCAGTGCCCCTGCCCCAGCTCTGTGGTACAGGCAGAGAACAACACACAGCCCCGACTCTGCACTCACCGGCGGGGAACGAGGTAGTGCTCAGCGCAGGGGGGGAAACCACCCCTCCCTCCCCCCTTATGGCTAGCGCCCCATGCTGCAGCAGCTTTGAGCCCACAGGGGCTGTCCTGCCTCTCTGCTGCATCACCACCCCACGAGGTAGTAGTCGCAATGGAGAGCAGGTACAGGCAGCCCTGCGCAGGCTCCAAGTGGCTACAGTATAGGACACTGGCCATGGGTGAAGAGAGCTTCCCCCCAGTGCGGGGCACCAGCTCGTAACCCACCACTGCTGCTAGCCTGGGCCCCGCACTGGCTCCGGGCTTGCCCATTGGGACTGAGCCTCAGCAGAACCTGCTGCTCGGTGAGGAGAAAAGTGCACCCCGCCCCCCCTTGCTGCTGCTGGGCACCGTTTGCTGTGGCTACCTGTCCAGAGCCCATACCGCATTATGCTGTGGTGTAGCTGCTTCACCACCACCTCTGTGCTGCCCAGCAGCTGTTCCACATGGCCACTGCTGCTTCACTGGGCAGCACAGAGGTGGCGGTGAAGCAGCTGCACCACAGCCTAGAGTGGCGCAGGCTCCAGGTAGGTGGCCTTAGCAAATGCTGATCAGCGGCCCCGAGCAGCAACTTCTGGGAAACAAGCTGCTGCTCAGCACAGGAGGAAAGTGGCTCCCCCCCCCCACCGGGC